CCCGGGGGGGGGGGGGCGTCATGAACCACCCAAGGGGAGTCACAAAGTATTTTCTGGGGGGTTACAAGTCACCTTATATGTTGTAGCCCTTGTTGAATAATTTCTTCTTTAACCTTTTGGAGTGGAATATTAAGAGTCTGTATGTGTATGTATGAGAAACAGACCCTTTGGGGAAAGAAAGAAGCCTCTACTTTCTGAGAAGAGATGACTTTACCCCATTGCCTTTTTGTACAAACATGGTAGAAGGTTGCATGTTACTTAGCTATTATACTGTAAAAGGGGGTCACAATTCAAAAAAAGATTGAGAACCGCTGCCCAAAAAGGATTAAGGATAATTTTGGGGATATAGTTTTGAAACTCTCCTCAGGTTTCATATGAAACCAAAGACAATCTTCTGTGTAGTTCTTGTTAAACAATTTCTTCTTTAACCTTTTGGAGTGGAATATTAAGAGTCTGTATGTGTATGTATGAGAAACAGACCCTTTGGGGAAAGAAAGAAGCCTCTACTTTCTGAGAAGAGATGACTTTACCCCATTGCCTTTTTGTACAAACATGGTAGAAGGTTGCATGTTACTTAGCTATTATACTGTAAAAGGGGGTCACAATTCAAAAAAAGATTGAGAACCGCTGCCCAAAAAGGATTAAGGATAATTTTGGGGATATAGTTTTGAAACTCTCCTCAGGTTTCATATGAAACACTAGCATCATATTTTCCATTGTTTTTTTCTCTCTCTCCATTTCTAAAGCAGAGCCAACCCAAAGTATATCAGAATCTCAGAACCTGGAAAGAACTTCTGGTGATAGAGCAGAGTAGGAAAAATGCATCACATTGCTGTGTATAAAGAATATTTAAGGTACAGAATATTTCCTTTGCAACAAAGTGGTCAAAGGGGGAATTTAGAAAAATAAAGACCATGCTGCCCATCTTACCATTTCCATTTTTACTAGGATCTACTTTTCCTTCCTGTATGCAGAAAATCCTTGTGAAGAATGAGCAGAGCTCAGAACTTGGCAGCTCATCTTCTCTTGCAGAAACAATTTCAATGGCTCCAGGACTGGAATCTGTTTCTTGGACCTGAACCAGCAGAGAATACGGACACACACACACACACAGAGAGAGAGATTGTAAGGCCATGTATAAAGAATATTTAAGGTACAGAATATTTCCTTTGCAACAAAGTGGTCAAAGGGGGAATTTAGAAAAATAAAGACCATGCTGCCCATCTTACCATTTCCATTTTTACTAGGATCTACTTTTCCTTCCTGTATGCAGAAAATCCTTTTGAAGAATGAGCATAGCTCAGAACTTGGTGGTTCATCTTCCCTTGCAGAAACAATTTCAATGGCTCCAGGACTGGAATCTGCTTCTTGGACCTAAACCAACAGAGAATATGGACGGACGGACGTTCCAGGACTGGAATCTGTTTCTTGGACCTGAACCAGCAGAGAATACGGACACACACACACACACAGAGAGAGAGATTGTAAGGCCAGTCCAAATGTGTGATTTCCTTCTTCAGAACTGTGCTTTGCAAAGTCTGCCTGCCACCTCAGTTAAATACAGAGCATTGTGTGTCAGATGCTCAGTGACCTCTCAGATGTTGCTCCAGGAGAAATTAACGAAAGTCGTCTGCTGAGCACAAATTGAGTGGCAGTTATGTATTAGGTGCAGCATGCTGAGGGTCAAACAAGGTTTCTCCAAGCACAAACTCAACCCAGGAATTAGTTTTCAATGCTAATGCTAGAGCTTTTACACATATGAACACTTACACCCACCCAGCCTTGCATAGTGCACTAGGAACCATTACTGCAAGAAGAGCACATACGTTGTAAATGCAAATGTTGTAGCTGAATCTGGGCCTGACCAGGTGTCAGAGTCAATAGAGGGCTGATGTACAGTAGGTCACAGCACCCCAAATATGTGGGTGACAGGGACTGTGGCATAGATGAAGAGGCCTTGACTGTCCAGATGTTCTGGCTAATGATCTGAATAAATCTTACTGAATTTATTATCTGTATAAATTCAGACAGGCTAAGAATTTGCTATCCCCTATGATATCTCTTAGTGCTAGCACGAGAACAAAGAACTTGTTCTTTCTGGGGATTAAATTTGATGCATTTTTCTTTTCAAAATGTTTGCAAAAAATAATGTATTTTATCTTTGTGCAAGCAAGCACAGAAGGGCTGGCTGACTGATCCAAAAGACACAAGCAACCCATTCAATAACATTATTTTTTAAAAAAAAAAACTCTGTGCAACCAAGCAGCTACTAAAGTTCAACTATGCAGTTTTCAGAATGTATACCCTTTATGCAATTTATGCAATTTGTATAAGATTATTCTCACAAATACAAGAACTCTCATGGAGATTGACACACAGTATTTTGACAAATCTAGAGAAACTATTTTATTCTTTCTTGTTTCATGCAAATTCTTATTCTAATTTTCACCTTTAATTCACCTCAACTCCACCTATCTTGGCCAATGGTAAGGATTCATTTGAACTATGGACCAAACTATATGGAGGACCAAGAGTTTCCCAGGCCTGCAGGTTTTGAAGCTGCCAGGTAGAAGCAATTGTATAGCAGTGACTCCCCACCCCACATGCATTCTCAAATGCCATTGTAAATTGCCCATTTTAATTAGACTAGCATACAGTGTCCATCCATGTGACCCAGAGTGCCAAAGAAAATGTTGCAAAAAAATGGAAAACATTGCTTGAGTGAAATAGTATTTGGTTGATTCTGAAGTAGTGTTCTTCTTCCACTGGAAATATTTGGAATTATTTCAGAGAGATGTATATTTTTTTTAAAAAAATCCTTGTGACAAAATGGAAAGTTCTTTGACCCTTCAAGCATGTTTCATGAGCATGCTAGCATGGAATGCCCAGTGAACACAAGAGTCAGAGATCTAGATAAAACTTTGTTCAGAATCCTGCTGGGGGGAGAAGTGTGTGGCAGTTAATTGTGTCAATAGTTTGCGCTCTTTGTTGAGTGATTGTTGTCTTGTTATGTCCAAAGTACAATAGGTAAAAACAGCTCAATTTAGTCATTATAAACATAAAGCTTTCACACGGATACCACAGAATCGAAAAGCATGAAGCACGCTGACTTTTGCATGTTGGAACTTTGCCTTTTGTCGATAAGCAACTGACGATCGGAGTTGGGAGGGCATCCCCACATCAAAATGGGGGAAGTGAGGCACCTTCTTTGCGCACTCCACAAGTCACACCTGCTTCTATACCTACTGAATTATTGTCCAGTTAAGATAAAGGAAAACATGACTCTCCTGTGGCAGCTATATCTCTGGGGAGGTACAGTATGCCTCCCTCCTCAAGGATCAACAAAGAAACAGCTTTCTAAAATGTGGCAGGGGATGCAGTATCAAAAGACCAATGTTTTGCTATCACCACCAATACCCCTTGGTCCACTTACCTCTTCCAGTGAAGCCATTCTCAGAAACCCAACAGCTTTCTCCTTGCATGATAAAATTAGTCAGCTAAAAACCGTGCCATCTGTTCTGCAAGTATTTTCATTCAGCCATCCGGAGTTGTCAGCTGAATCATTGTAGTGGATGACATTATGACCGGTGTCAGTGTAATTCAACCCGTCGAGAGAGCTATCGGGTGGCCTAGAAGAACATTCTTCCAATGATTGAGAAGGTAAAAAGGCAGCAATCCTTTTAATCAATTGTAATCAGAACAAGTTTTGTCGATGAATTTCAAACATATTCAAGAATATTTCTGGAAACTGCACTAGCTAGATCTCTGTTTTTTCCCTGTTATGCATAAACAATGAAAATAATGGTTTTTGACAAGCTGATTTCATTAAAAGGCCCTGGCAGGGGTGTAGAAGAGTATCAACAACATTAGATAAAATAACATATCAGTGACACAGGTGTGCCTCCAGAATATTGAAGAGATAGCAGTACAGTAGGTCATTATGTCATGTATAATAAAAGTGCAGGTTAAAAAACTTTTCACAAGAGGTTTCTTGACATTTGAGACAAAAAGGGGTGATTTCCAGGGAGGATGCCTCTCAGAGATGCAAAGCATTCATATTATTTATTCAGCTTATACAACAGAAACGTTTGGCCTTTCAGGTACTTTGCATAATGACTCCCACAATTCCTTAGTCATGAAGACTAGGACTTCTGGGAGATGAAGTCCAACCCTTGAAGGGCCAGATGTTCCCTATCCCTGTTATACCATCATATAAACCATCATATAAATTATTGCTACTTTTACAGCATTCATTATGTCATTTTTTCTGCAAAGAGGTGTCCTTCTGCTATGGTGGATTATGTATTTTGAAGGTATGTGTGAGTCAGCCAAAGATCAGATGAACTGAGTTCTGTTAATACAGGAAAAATTGAAACATTGGAGATTTGCATGTGCAGCATTCTAAGGGCTCCTGAAGTCAATCTACAGGGCAGTTCCTGCCATGAGGCAGGGTGCCTTGGACAACTGCCTCAGACATATGATTTTGGATATAAAGAAATGGATGAAAATAGTAACCTTATTGTTGTGGATAAATGCCTCCACTTAAATGCCAAAAGAACTTGGCTAGAAATGGGTACTAACATTCATCGTTCCGGCTCAGGAAGCAAAATGATAAGCATCTGATGGGAGATAAGAGTTTTCTCCGATGAGAACAAGAAAAGAGTCAATTTCTTGGCAGAAGCTCTTATCTCCATTCAGCTGCTGATAACAAATGAGAGCTTTACCCTCCGAGGAAAAGGTGCAGGTCTTGAGGAAGAGTTGAGTCCTGCTTGAGTCTTGCCTTCTGAAGGCTCATCCTGCTTACTTCGACATGCAAAGGCTTTCCCTGCTTACTTGGCAAGTATATAACCATATAGAGGTTTGGTATTTGGAATATTATTTGAAAGTGCTTCTGAGTGTTTTGTGATCACTTCTAAGTAGGCAAACAGAAGTTTGTCCCACTTACTTCTAAGCAGTTTACAACCAATATACATCACCCTTCCCCTATGCCCCTGCCTATCTCAGCCCAATAACTTTTCCAGATTGTAATTAGGCCTTTAGATTGAAAAGGGTTCATGACACTTCATTTGTAGGTAGTCAAACTCTATCACATTAAAACATATACTCATCATCTGCAAAATCTTGGCCCACAACTCATCAACAGAGATGCAATAGTATTTCACTTTCTCTCATTCAGACCTGGGAATGCAGGAGACAGCAGCATTCAGATGGATGACTGGTCTGTCTGGATCATGGGCTGTGCAGGACAGACGGACAGCGCATTAATACGTGGTAGACTATACATACAATATTTGAGTCTCCATTGTTTTTGTTGTTTGGCTCTGACAGAGCTGGTGATTCTCTGTCGAAGAAGAGATGGTGGCCAGGTGTTTAGTGCTGTGGTTACTTGATATATTAATTGTACATCATGAATCACAGAGCCAGTTTGGGGAAGCATTTGGTGATGCTTGCCCAGGAGCAAAAATTACTAGTTGTATCTCTGTCCAGTCAGCATGGTCATCACTCAGGGATGAGGAAGGTTGTGAGCCAGAATATTTGCAAGGCCAATTTTGAGGCTGGCTGTTTGCAAACTATTCTGATACAGTATAGTATTTTATAAATGAACAACAAAAAGTTAGAGGGACTGTTTATAGTAGCATTTAGATTGATATATAGATCACTGTTGATAACAGTTTGGTTCATGACCAAAGACACACATGTTTCTATTTAAAAAAAAATCCATCCTGCCCCTTCAGGAGTTGATGCACACTTTTCTGGTCCATGGCTAGGGTATGTATTATTAAAAAAAAAATTGTACAATTCAACGAGATCCTAATGAGTTTGTTGTGCAGCCTGTGTGGACAGTTACCTTACACCCAAATGGAGCTGTGGGCAGTGTTATCTGAGGGGCACACACATGTTTCTATTTAAAAAAAAATCCATCCTGCCCCTTCAGGAGTTGATGCACACTTTTCTGGTCCATGGCTAGGGTATGTATTATTAAAAAAAAAATTGTACAATTCAACGAGATCCTAATGAGTTTGTTGTGCAGCCTGTGTGGACAGTTACCTCACACCCAAACGGAGCTGTGGGCAGTGTTATCTGAGGGGATAACCCTATAATGTAATAGGTGTGTTCTGACATTAAATAGAAGGGCAGAGAAACACCCTCCTCTATTTTCATCTCTTTTTTAAATATTTCCCTAACAAACACCACAGAATTCTAATACCATGGTAGGTGAATGCATTCCTGTGTCAACATACCACTTATTTTAATTGACAACAAATAGAGACAAAAGCCACTGCAGCTCCCTGAGTGAGATCTTAGAAAAAAACGATAGGGAAGGGGGCTATGGTACCACTTATTTTAATTGACAACAAATAGAAACAAAAGCCACTACAGCTCCCTGAGTGAGATCTTAGAGAAAAAAAAGATAGGGAAGGGGTCTATGGTGACTTGCTCTGTCCCCACAAGGCAGCACAGCTCCAGCAGAGCCCAGGCTGAGGAGAAAGGTGGGGAAAATGACAGAGTTACACATCCCTTCTGTCTCCCCAACCTTCACCCCAGTATTCTCCGCTTCCAATAGTACTGCAGGTGCAAGCTTGCCCCAGCCTGCCTCAACCTCCTTAGTCATGAGTAAACCAAGTAAGCTTACTGGCAAACCAAAGACTTGTGTGGACCCTCCTCACCGGAGAATAGATATCTCAAGTGTGAATGGAAGAATTGCTCAAGTGAGCGTTAAAATAGATTACAGAGAAGAACCTTTTAATGGAAACCAGACTACTCCAAAATCCCCTATCTGGACAGGCCCTCATCTGGCATAAGCTTTCACAAGTTGCAGCTGATCAATGGAATATAGTGATTAGAAGTCTCTGTCAAATGAAACTTGGTAGTGTTTCAGGTACTACAACACTCTTTGTTATTTTGACTGTAACAGATTAATACAGTTGCACTGCCACCTTCTGAAAATGTCCTTCACACTAAGCAACACCGCTGCTAGGGAAATTAAGTTACATTTCAGGCAACACTGACATAATCAGCTGAAATGTGTAGCGCTAAGGTACATGGGCAATTCATCTGCGATTTGTGCTAAATCTATTATATACATGAAACATTGTACAACTCTCCCTCCCACCCACACGTTGCCCTTCCAGTCTGCATACAGTAATAATTCTAAGAATCATAACACACTGCAAAAACAGGATATCATCATTTGTCGAAAAAGATCGAAGGAGGTTTTGAGGTTTTGAGGGTTGTGTTTTCAGACTCTGCCTCCACACTCTTTCTCTTTCTGGCTACATACGTTCACAGACAAGAAGGGAAGAGATGGCAGTGGCTGACGTGCACCTCTACACAAAGGTCTTGAGCAAGTACAAAAACAGAAGTACCCAGTCCCTACTGGAGCCTCTCATGGCCACAGGGTTCCCTGTACATACAGCGTAAGTACCTCTGCTATCCCATTGTCCGACATAATTACTTTCTTCTCTGTTTTATAAAAAGCTCACAACCTAAAGACGATATGAGGCTCAGCATCTTTTTTGGTACAGCAAGTTCAGCTCTTGCACAACACAGAAAGCATGGGTATGCTATGTTTTCCTGTCATGCCTGTTTGGAGAAATTGCTTGGTGTTATTTGGAAGATATTGCTGATGGAAGCAAAAGTCCGAGATGAGATCAAAATTGCAATGGCATATCATCTCAGATTTCCCACAAATAAAAACCTGAAGAGACGAGAACCATGAGGGAGCACGTGCAGTGACAGCCTTAACGTCCCTCTCATTATCTGTTGATCTTGTTTTCTAAGCCAGCTCAGAAAGGGGTCTGTGCTATGCTGCTCAGTAGGAATGAACTGTAGCCACACACTGCTATGCCTCATGAGTTACAGATGGTACATCTGGGTACCCTGGGAACTCTTGATTAAAGGTTACAGGAAGGGAGAGACAAGAAGCCAATGGTCTGAACTAGTGTGATACCACATCTTGTCACCTGTGAAATGAGATGTCCTTGCCTGCTTGGACTACAGCTCAGCACTGACCAGGAGTAATTTCTTAAAAGTACATTTGAAAATGGAACTCATGAAGTTAGGAAATGGGTAGTCTCTACATGAAAGGCCTCAAGCAAAGATGTGCAGTATTTATTGGGGACGGTATAGCTCTGGATTTCCTGAATTGAGCAGGGCTGTAGAATGGACAGCCAGAACTCTCAAACTCTCTATGATTCTAAGGCAATTTGTTCTTTTATTTGTATTTTCACCATTTTTGAGTAAGGCTTTCTGGTTGCTTCCCAACGTGTGGTAAAAGTAAATTGTTTTTTTGCTATGGTTTTAAATTCAAAAGCTTTGGGAACTAGAACTGAAAAAAAAGAGATCACAGTTCAGCATGGCTAAAGAGGGTGGGAGGTGTATAATTTCTGGACATTGATGAGGCATTACTGAGAAAAAGTCGATGTTGGCCAGAAAGGGGCAATTACCACTGACATTTTGTGAGGAATATTAAAGACAATTGAACTCTTCTGATGATGGCACCCACTCATTAATGCCAAAATGAGATCTGTGTCAAATTAATCAGATAGTTTCCCTTAAATGCCAGGTTTGCCTGTTGACCTTTTTAGATGACCCCTGATCCTAGTGGATGAGCAACTCATCCCAGAATATTAGAATAGGGGTGACACCTTCTGAAATCACAGCCTGCTCTCACGTGCTTTCATAGTTCATTGTTTTAGGCAACTTCCTCTAATTTAAAAACACATATTTTTTTAAAAAAGAAAAAATTATGGGAGAAAGAGGAAAATAAATCAATTCAGTTAACAGTATTTCTGTATTTTATGAATTCAGTATTTCCTTTCATTGTCTCTCATATCTGTAACTGGTGCTTTGTCCAAAGGCTCAGTTAGCATTGTGTCTGATGACCTGCAGGCAAGCAAAGAGTTTTTTAAAGATAGGCCTTGAGTCTATGGATACCTAGTGTAGTGTAGTAGTAGTGGATAGGGTAATGGACTGGGACTCGGGAGGCCTGGGTTTGAATCCTCACTCGGCCATGGAAAGTCAATGGGAATGTGGAACTGATAAAACCATTCCTTAAATAACTCACTCCCTTTGAAAGCCCTGTTAGGGTCCCTCAAACTCAGTTCCTGCTTGAAGGCGTATCACAACAACTTTAGGCCTATAAGCTGACTGCAATATGCCATACTTGTGTTGAACTGGACATTATTACTGTTGTTGCTTCGGGTGCCTTTTTAATGCCTTATTGCTGTGTTATTGTATTGCGTTTCTACTGTTGCTATTAGCTACCTCAAATCTCATTTGAATACAAATTAAACAAATATTACTTATTATTTGTTTATTTATTATACTTGTGTACCACCCGATTAGTGCTGGGCAGTTTACGAATGTTAAAGTATTATGTAACATTTACTCGACAGTGCTGCAACATTTAGAGGATTTATAGTTGTTGAGTCTCAGGGAGTTGGATGCCATCATAGGGAATTGTTCTAGTAGGAGCAGACCAACTCTCAGGGTAAATGATGCTAGGGGAGGAGAAAGTTTGGTTTTAATGTGTATGGTAGTTTTACTACAAAGGGTGGGCTATTTCTTCCCTTCCTCAATTGGTGCCAAGGATCACTGGGGCTGACCAAAAACTTACTAGTATATCTGCTGGGCATATTAATCCTGTTTGGGAGGTAGTGCAGGAGATTCACCTTGTCTGTCTCATTCTCTTTCACACACATAAACATGAATACATACTATTTTGTAGTTGTTGTTACATAAAGGCCCATGCTCAGTGCCATCACAAGTGGATACCCCCTAAGACATCACAAGAACCCTAACCTTGGCCTCAGATGTTGGTTCTGAATCCTTGGAGAATGGGAGGCTGTTGTTCTGGATGAATCGGTTGGATTAATTGTCATGAATTAGGAGTCCTATAAGAGAATGGACAAACTTTCTGTAAAACCAAAGGGAGCGTGCCTCTTTCTTCAGAATTATTGTTGATTCATTGGCCAATATATGCATATTTAAATGGCTGCCATTTAAAAAGGCCTTCATCCTGAGTCTTCCAACTGCCAAGGTCTCATATTACACATAACTTGTATGGGTCCAACTACACCATGTGTTTATTGTGTTTGTAAAAGAGGCATTCCCTCACGTGGTGAAAGATATCCATTTGCAATAGCACATGTTTTTCCTTACCTGTGTATCATGCAGTTGGCCTGCTGTGTTTTGTGCTGGGCCATTTGGCAATACATATTGGTTTAATTTGCAAGTTTGATTGCTGAAATGGGATATTCTCAGGCATATCTGAGAATATCCCATTATAAGAGGGAACGTCATATAGTTAATCATGTTGTTTACCCTTTTGTCTCATTCAAAGTAGAACAGATCCACAGATAGTTTCTCTGTAGACAAAGGTCATGCAGACTTGACCTCATTGTTCATGTCATGTTTTTATTCATCATGGATGATTTCAGTGATTTATAGAAGTCATTGATTCTTCATGGCTGGCTGAACACAATTGATTAACAAGACTGAAATGATCATCAGTCCAGGTGCAATCCTATGCACCTTAGTTCATAGACTATTGCAGACCTATTGCATGATGACAGAGGCAGTTTCACCCACTGAATAGCATTCCCAGGCTAGCAGCATCCCGTAGAGCAAGGCTTCAGGGTCTTGTGATATACTGTAATTGCATGGGGGTGGACCTAGATGGAGTCACAAGAGCAGGACCTCCAGCAACAACTGCAAAATGGTATGTGGGAGAGAAACATTGGCAATGTGGAGACTGCATTTCACCAGCAAGTGAAATTTAGTAGCAGCTCCAGAGCATGCGAGACCAATTAAAAAAAATAAGAGTGTATCTGCATAGTGTCTATGTGGCATGTTCTGAAACGATAAGAATAGACCTCAAAATGTAGGATTGCCAAATGGTAGCATTCCATTCCATGAAGTGTTAGGTGTAAAGCCTGAGACCTGGAGAATGGACTCCCAGAACCTGCATCTCAAGGTCAAAACCTGCAACCTGATAATTATATTCCTTGGTGGCAGGAATGGTCACTGTCAAGTGACCAACATCAGATCCATAGGATGCTAACCCTCCTTGTCCCCCTTAACGAAAACAGAACAAAACCAGGTGCAGTAAATTCATGCCTGTTTCAATGTGATTATCTCTTCTTTTATATGCGGTTGTAGCTTTTCTTTCTTGAAATTTACTTTACTGTACTTTCCTTAGGCTAAAAGCATTGGCAGCTACCGGACAAAAGTCAGTAGAAGATGCGACAAAATGGTGAGTGTGCCTAAGTGGTCGTTCTCATCAAAATGAATTAGAAGACATTGCCCTGGTTTATGTGTTTTCTGCTACTGAATCAACACACCTACTGCTGCAGGATCAGTAGTAAATCTGGATATATATTCAAACAATGAAAAAGATGCCACTTGATTATATATTAGATTGACTAATAAATGACAAGCCAGTTAATATTGCTTGCGTACAAAATGCTACAGTGTAGTTGTAGCTTTGGAAGTATATGTGCTCACCATGACTGTCCCCATAGTGACCACCTTCCAGAAGGATAGTCCATAAATGTAGTCAATTGGACCAGCCCATTAAAAAAAGGAGCAGAAATTCAGTACCAAACCATATTCAAATACTCTGCATTGTAAGCAGGATAATGTAGAGCTATATATAGCTTCTGGGAAATCTATTTGTTTCTCAGCTACTGTGAGGATTGCAATTAACCTTGAAGAAGCAGGGGAGCCTAACTGAGTGAGGGATGATGGTATAGTCCCTGATACCCAGATAATCCAGGGGCTTTGACCTTGTGAAACCTTGTGCCATGCACCACTGGTAGAATGATCAATTTCTGCAAGACTTCTTTATTACTGGAATTCCAGAAGAGAAACAGTTATAAACAAATGGAACCAAGGTGGTAGGCATGAGCCAAGAAAATGCTATTGATTGTTGCTCTCTATTACATGTTTAATTAATGCATTTATCTATTAAGCTATAGCCTACATGGCATTGTGATAACTCAGCCACATTCAAACAGCTTAATCTCTGGAAACAAATTGCATTAAGTTAGGAAGTCAACATAGACATTATCTGTTGTGTACTGAGTCACATGACCAGGTATGTAACTGATAAATAACATCTGCACCAATTATATAACTTGAAGCAACTGACCTCCCCAAGTTATGCTATGGATGTAACTGACAGGATCTCAGGCAACTTTTGAAAAGTAATGAGCTTCTTCAATGGTTTACTCACTTCTTTAACAGCCTTTGCACATGATGGTTAAAAGGTACTTTAATTGGATACCTAGTCAATTTTTAAAATCTTTTCCATTTGTGTTGAAAACTCCATGTAAGTGGGTTGGGGTGGATGGGAAGAAGCTCCCCACTGAAAGCAATGGAGGGTTTGTCACGATAACTACAAGTTAGTGCAACTGAGAGGCCTGATCCAGGTCCCTTTTGAGGAAACAGAAGGACCTTCAAACCAGCAGATCTAAAGGAAGTGTGGCGCCAACCCAGAACACCCCATGTCAAGGGCTGGCTGGGATAGCTCAGTGGTTTAGGTATCTGACTGCCGAGCCAGAGGTTGGGAGCTCAGTTCCCCAAGTGTGCCTCCTGTGAGTGGAGACAGCCTGTGTCCTGGGGCAGAGATGGATTTTTGTGTGTTTGTGTGTGTGAACTATAAGCCCCAGAATCAAGCAGATTTAAGAACTATCCCTCACAGAAGTAGCATCTTGCATCTTTGTCTAACCATACCCAAAGCACTGCCTGTTGGCCATCCAAGAGGGTCAGGATTGCTGTGCCATATCTACTGATGGCTTTGTTGTATTTATTGCTGATGGTTTTTAAATGCTCTTATTGTTTTTACTTATAGTATCAGAGGGAGCAGATCCCAAAATATGCTAGCAAGAATAGGAGTTGTAGCCCAGAAAAGTATCTTGGTTGTGGGGTTATGTGCAGGCTTCGTCTGGCTTGCAAAAGCTCCCCCTTGGGTGAGTTCTGCAGATCTTCTGAAACTGTTCCAAAGAAGGAGGAGGAAAACCGATAAATCTCCACATTCTCCTCAGACAACTAGCGCAAACAAATAATTGCTGATTTGTTAATACTTTCAGACTGGAAATAGTTAAGTGTTTATTAATAGATATGGGAGCTTCATGTTCATATCTCATGGGATACAGATCTGAAGCTCAGCACCAGAGGTGCCATGGTGGTCCATTCCCACCTGCCGGAACCATTCTGGTCTGTTCAACGGGCTCCTTGCAGCACACTTATCCAGTGGCAGCGATATTGCGCCAATTGCAGATGTAGTCCTCCCGGCACTGCCACACCTCTCCCCTCAGCTGACCACTCAGCAGCTGAGCATGGAGACTCATCTTCCCACCTCCTTGCTGGAGCAGTGTCTGTGGGGAGAGGTGGGGCAGTGCCAGTGAGACTATGTCCATGATTGGTGCAAATGTCACTGTTGTGAGATGAGGAGTATGGTGAGTGGACTACGCTGGTTCTGGGGGGTGGGAAAGGACCACCATGGCAGAGTTTTGTATTCGGGATATGAATATGAAGGTCCCATGTCTATTTATGAAACAAGAGTTGCATCACAGAATGACGCTGATACCATTTTGTATCTTCATGTGCCCTCTCTATTGCTTGTAGGTTGCATTCCCACTGCAATGATCCTTCTTTGGAAGATCCAATACCTCAGGAATATGCCCTCTATCTGTGCCCAACAGGCCCCTTGAACAATGTGCTGATGGACTTTTGGAGAGAAAGCAAACTTCAGTGTGGGAAAAACAAAGCCCACAACATTTTCCCACACATCACACTTTCTGAATTCTTTACGGTGAGCCAAATATGTACTGTATTGTGTAACCATAACAAGGGATGCCATAGCTAGTTTTGCATCCTGGTCTCTTTGTGCTGCAGTTGGCTTACTTTGATGTATAAAACACACACTGTGCTCAGTTTGAGCCAATAGTGTTCCAGGGTCTGTGTTTACTGTTTTTCATTTGGTTTTTGAAAGAATTCCTGTTGTGTCAAGACTGGACCTCTTTGCTCCTGAGTCTTCTGATACATTGGCCTGTATGTGGTTTTACTGTCCATTTATCATTAGGTGAAAAGAAAATTGATCCACTTCACTCTGAAACTCCTTCCAGACCATTCTGAGAGTTTTAACTTTTAATAAATAAGGGAGGGCATAATATAAAAATTAAGCAGACAACTGTGATTTTTTTAAAATTTAGCCTGGAAAGCCAGGCCAAATATGATAGCAAAAATGTGCCTTTTGTTGTTATTCTGTGACTATAACTCAGTGGCTTTATCATTCATATGACTAAATATTAATTTGTAGCTCCTTTGCATAGTTATTCCTTCTTCTGTAAATACTAAATGGTCTACAGACAAAATAAACACATGCCATACTATTTTTATTTTTGATCTAGCTGAGAGTTTATTTGTCCTGTTTGAGCAATTTTAAGAGTTAAAGTATGTAATTTGTACTGGCTACCAATTGACCTGGAGCTACAGAATTCTTGAAAAGAATAGCAGGTTGTGTGTTTTCTTCCAGTGTGAAGACCAAAAAGTTGAAGGTCTATATGAAGCCTTAAAGAGAGCAGGGGACCGGTTTTCCAGCTGCTTCCCAGCCATCATCTCTCTGTCACTACATTCCTCCAGCACGTACATTGGCTTATTTGTGAGTGATGGCCCTGCAAACATCATCAAATCATTTGCTGCAGCTTTTGCAACAGAGGCTATGGTCTTAGCAGGTAACAGCACTGAAAAACTGAAAGCCATTATTACTTTTCCAAGTTTCAAAGTTCAAAGAAATATGACAGTGAGCTGATTAAGATGCTTCTCCAGCCACTACATGTCACATTAAATGTACTGGGTGGAGTCAAAGGTTGTTATATTTTGTTTTTGTTTTTTTAAAAACTCTCTAGAAACTCTCTAGGGCCCTGATCCAGATTAGGTATATCATATTCTGATTGTGTTGTTACATGCCTTCAAGTTGCTTCTGAATTATGACAACTCTATGAACGAATTACTTCCAGTAGGTCCTGTCATTAACAGCCCTGTTCAGGTACTGCAAACTAAAGGCCATGTCTTCCTTTACTGAATGAAATTTTCATATGTTAAGACTTCCCCTTTTCCTACTACTTTCAATTTTTTCTCATGCTGTTAGCTTTTCCAGTGACTCTTCCTGAGAATCTTCTCATGACTATGCAGTGGTAGGAAAAGTATAAACTTTTAATGTCTCTCATGCATAATAGCAGTTATAGATCCCCCCTTCTTTTTTAGTCTCTGCATGGTGAGTAAGATGGAATGTTGATTTTGAGGGGGGATCCACATAGTCCACATAGTCCACATAGTCTCCCCTACCTGCACATAGACTATTCTAGATTACCCTTCCAGGCTTTCTTGCAAGCAAAATGACATCTCTCCTGTTAGTATACACTTAATCTACCAAGTAGCCTAATACGCATCAATTTCAGGAAGGTGCCTGCATACATTTCTCCACTGCACAGACAAATCTCTTCTTGCATCAAACTTAAGATGTGGTTAGGACGTCACAAGATAATTACCTCTCTTAAGTGGTAAAAGATTCCATTGATCCTAGGCCAAGCTTTCCTCACTTCCACAATTTGCAACAGAGCTTGCTTTTGTTTTAGGATTGGTTATCAGAAGGTAAACATGGACTTCATTTGCACGTTTGCTCATTAAGCCACAGAGTTTTCAAAGAGACGTGTTTCTGACTGGAAAGCATGCAGTCCACTAATGGTAAAGTTGGACTCTAGATTGAGCTGGAGTCAGAGACATGGTTCTAGTGTGCAGTTATTTAAGCACATTGAGACTGACATGTGTGAACAGGAAGCACCAAAGTTGCAATCCTATGTAACAGTTTCTTCAGAATTAGTCTGACTGAATAGAGTAGTAATGGTGAATGACTATCATCAGTCGGTGCTGCCATACAAAATATTGCAGAATACAAGTTTCAGAAACAATCTAATTATCAATGCCATCTAACAATATTGTTTGCAATTTTATCTATAGATTGTCACATAAAACCCTCAACAAAACAACTCCACCTTACACTGGCGAACAAATTCTCCCCTCACCACCAAAGGACTCTGGAACAACTAGCCAAATCAATCAATGCAAAGCAAAGCTGCCAGTGGATGGCAGCTCTGTATTCCAGGGATATGCGCTTTGTGCACTACCCGGTATGTGTATTACCAGATAGCATTGATCTTTTTATGATAACGCTCTCTTTCTGGAATTAATTCTCTCTCCATGGCTTGAGCAATACTCAGATCAATGTACCAAACAAAGTGTGAACTGTTAATTTGGTGTTTCCATTCATTGCTAGTTTTGGCAAAACATTTCAATTCTCCTCTCATCTTTTCCTGGTTTTAATTAGGTTTTGAGGGCCTTGTTCCAGTATAAGCCTCAGAATATTGATGAGCTGATGCTGAATCCTGGGGATCTGCTATACCTCGATCGGGCAGAACCGGCAGACATTTGCAATGGATGGGTGATTGGAATCTCCCATCGAACTGGGTGTCGAGGGTTTCTTCCAGAGAATTACACAGAAAAAGCCAATGAATCAGATACTTGGGTCAAACACAGGTTAGGATTACTTGGCTTGAAACCTAATTGCAGAAGAGATAAACAGTTTTAATTTAATGTTTCATGATTATTATTTCTTTTTAAATCAATTGGCCTGATAAGAGGAAAGGAGATCTTCACTTTTAATGAGGCAAGCAAGCCTTTGCTTAAACTTCCTTTGTATTCTCTGTCTGGAAAACCCTGAAAAGGGTCATCATAAATCAGGACTGACTTATCAACACATAACAATTATTATTACTAGATATCACATTATTTCAATGCTGACTTGTGTTGTTCCCTTGTGCTCTTTTGTGAATGTTGAGATGACAATGAGGTGCTCAGAAGTATGTGTTTGTCCCATAGATGCCTTGTAATAATTAGAATTTTAAAAAAACATAACAAAAACTAAGATCAATACATTTGTCTATCTTCTTGTATTTTAAATGAAATTTTACAGTAATTAAAATAGCTTTAGTTACTTTAAAACTTTAGTTATTTTAAAAGTCTCAACTAAAATACAAGACAATTACATTTTAGAAAATGTAACATTAATGATAGCTAATTAATTCTTTTGGCCTCATACGTATAGCAGTAACTAATTTTTTTAAGTTACTTTCGAAGCTCCAATTATTCCACCATTCTGTGTAAGTTCAAAAAAGACACATCATTTGGAACTAGATGCAGAATTCACCATTCCAAGGATTTTAGTTTTATATTTTTTAAAAAGAAATATTTGTCTCTCTTATGCCAGAGAAGATAGGATTAAGCATGCTGGCATGATATATTGTTTGTGACTGAACAGTGACTAAGTCCACGGCTTCTGTATATGAAACAGCTATTCTCATGATCAGCAGAAACAAAATAAATGGGAAGAAAATCTAACTTGTTAAATGCATGAATTATGTTCAGATTTCATATCAAATGCAGAGCATAAGCAAAATATGCCCCCTAGTTCTATTTATATGGCCATGAGAGAAGGCTAGCTCATAATGGCTTCAGTCCACTTCAGTCTGTGCCATCTCAGTCCTGGGTGTACATGTTGGACTTGTCATTGACCACTGTTAGCTCTGCCGAAAGGTGAGTTGGAAGAAATGTGCCACAAGTAGTCACATGACAGTACAAATGTTTGTTCTGATCTTTACATTTCCTCACCATTTTCTGTTCTTTTTCCACTCTGCCAATGTATCTGCAGAGAATATATTTTCACTCTAGGTTCAGGACAACCTTCCAAGAATCAACCTGAACTTGGCATGCAACTGCGAAACCCAAATCCATTGCCTAGAAATGTAGCCAAAACACCTGCTCTCCAGGTAAAAGTATTTTAAATATCCTGTTCTATGATGTATGTATTAAAACACGTTGGAAGGGAAGCCATTGTCCAAAGCAAGCTTATGTATAACTACAGTTCTACACAGTGTAGACTAGAGGTGGGCACAAATTGAAAAAAAAAATGCAAAATTCATCAAAAATCACAAATTTGCCTATTTGTATTTGTATGAATCAATGCCCCGACAAATACAAAGAAGTCATTGTCCCAAGCAAGCTTATGTATAACTACAGTTCTACATAGTGTAGACTAGAAGTGGGCACAAATTGAAAAACAAATTGCAAAATTCATCAAAAATCACAAATGTGTCTATTTGTATTTGTATGAATCAGTGCTCTGACAAATACAAGTCAATGCATTTTAGTGATTTTTTTATTCATTGCACTGTCAAATGCCCCCCCCCAGGCACCTAGAGACACAAAAAATGCAGAGAGACTTGATGCTTATCTGCTATCCCTCCAAGCTTGGTGAAGATTGGGTTTTAGGTGTCCATGGTATACACTCACAAAGAGGAAAGTTCCCCCAGGCACCAAAATCACAGAAAAGCTTCCCATGAT